CAACGTTGGCATTGTTCCAAAATCACGCACTTTCTCCTTTCTCCCTATTTGCTAAAGATACAATAGCTTTTTTTAAATACAATTGGTCACTTGCGTCCGTAGCACGCATTCCTATAGAGTGGTATAGAATTACAGAGTATCTCTTGTGTCCACTGAAGTATTAGCGCGCACTGTATCGTAGTACGTAGGCTGCGTATTCGACACGTATAAAAATAAAAAATATGAAAACCCGTCCCGATTTTTTCAGCGCACACAACACAGTTCCAGGGTCATTTGGCGTACCACCTGGTGGCACGCCACGTATCACTGCCGGTACGCGTACCACAGTTTGAGAACCACTGGCTAAACAGTGAGCTTCAAGTTGGCCACTGTGCACCCTGGGATGCCTACACCAGTGCCCCACTCCAACAGCAGAGAATGTTTCTGTGAATCACATGCAGATGTCTTTGGCAAAGCAAGGATCCTCCTGTTGCCCAAAGGCTGCCGAGGAGCAGCACTCTTGACTCGCAGAGCTATTGGCAAACAGAGTCAGTGAAGAACCTTCAAGCACCCTCATCCTTCCCCCCCCGGGGGCACAGTAATCTCCTCACACTGGAGGAGAGTGACCTGAGCTGGACCCTGCTGAGATACAGGGACTCTGAGGACTGAATACAGATTACCCCCTGACAGCCACTGCTGAAATCAACACACTCCAGTCGGCATCACACTGATCCTGTCTTCAGCTCTGCAAAACAGGAAAGGCTTTTGCTCATTTTGTTTTCTTGTTCCCTTTTCTTTATTAGGAAGGGAGGATGGGGTTTGAAAATCCCCCTTAAATCTGACAGCATTACATACAGTAGGCTACATAGGACAAGATGAGACCAAGACACCCATCATTGCTGCACATCACTATTTTGTGTACCCTTTAATTACAATACATTCGAGATTTATGCATGCTACATAACATGCTACAGGGGAAAGTGCCTCCCCTCAAAACTTGTCACGACAATTTTTAACTTTTTATTTCAAACATCTTTGCCTACCTCGCTGTTTATTGGGGCTGCTCTACATCACCAAGGTGGTGTTACAGTACAGTACTACTCTTTTCAAGAAAAACCCTGGGTTTTTTAATGAACACAGAGAGTCAGGACCTCAGTTTTACATCTCATCTAAAGGACGACACCTTTTTTATAGTAAAGTGTTCCAGTATAGGGGATATGGATCCACCTAGACCATGAGGTGAGCGCCACCTACTGGCCCCACTAACGCCTCTTCCAGCAGCAACCTTTCCCAGGAGGTCTCCCATCCAGGTACTGACCAGGCTCACACCTGCTGAGCTTCAGTGGGTTGGCAGTGAGTTGCAGGGTGATTTAGCTGCTGGTATAATATTTGCACATTGGAGAAATACTGTACAGTGAAAGAAATGGGTGAAGTCTGTTCTGATGTGGAGTGTCCAAAGAAGTGTAAAAATACCCAGGGCAGTAAAGAACAAACCTGTTTATACCCTGGGATAATTCATCTTCAAGTTCAAGACTCACCCCAGCCTATTATTTTCAGGGAATCTAAATTCAGTTAATTACATGGCGATCTTACACCAGCACTATGCAGTGGGAACAGCAATGTGGATTTCACCCATGCCCTAGAGAGCTGTAGTAAGAAGGTGTGCCTTATGGAATTCAATTAAATTGACATGTAGACTCTAAGATTATCAGTATTTTAAGGATATTCACTTTTAATTAAGAAAGCATTACATTAATAATAATTGTGCAAGCAGGAGATGCAGATAAGATAATTACTTTTAAATATATCACTGCATAAATGAATCTTTTAATGAATAATTAGAATTCAAATCCTGACATAAGAATTCATTACAATTCAATGTATGCTCTATTAATTCAGCTCAATGCAATGGAGTCAGAACTCGGCAAAAACTTTCAAACGAGCAATTTTTAAGTCTGTAAAGGAGACGTACAGTATTCACAAAACTTTGGAATTTACTCATTGTGGACTGCCTCTCATTTAATTTAATTGAAATGACTACAGCGCACACTGAAAATATGTAAGTACATTACATTCGGTTCTTATGATATAATTTACTATATAGTTTACTGCATGTAAACCTAAAAAAAGGCTTTATGCACACACTGTATACAATGTGAATGAAAATTCCTTTTCACTCTTTCACGTCGACAAATATCAAATATTACTTAGCGCTCAATGCCATTAACAAAATGTCATTCTCATTAGAATTTCTCATAAAGAGATTTTTAAATCCAGAAGACATTCTAGAAGCACCGGTAAGGCAGATATATACAGTATACAGTACTGTTCAAGTATCTCTGTCACGAAACATAACACATGATGTGCTGCTGCAGTAATTTCCAGTGAAATACAAGGGTTATCTATAATCTTGGTGAGACGGGGGTAACTGCAGACAAAACACGAAGCCTAGAACTTCAGAGCTCTGTTAATCAATGCTTCACACACTCAGCTACCCTACATACTCCTGAATTAATTCCTGACAGATGAACAAATACCCAGCAACTCCTCCTTGGCAAAACTCGATTATACATTCTCTTTCTTTGATAAATTACATCTTGTTATATATTAATTAAATGTTATCTGTGACACAGTAGCTATCTCTGACAGCGTCTCTGCTTTTGTGCAATCAGCAATTTGGGAATCCTTATATCCGTTGCCACATTTAACATGGTGCCTAATATGAAGATTAATTGCATTTTTACCCAGTAGCACAAAAACAGCCTTGCTATGAATTCCATGGTAGAATGTCTTGTACACTATTTA